TGACGCCTGAGTGCTGGAGCCCCTCACCCTCGCCGACACGGGGATCTGAATTCTGAGCCGCAGAGGTCGGGTGAGGCCAAGGAAGATAGCCATGCCCTGACTAGTGAGCCCGAGGAAGGGTACCTCGGGGCAGTGGCGGAGGTTGGAGGCAGTTCCCCAGCTGGGATCTGTCTTAAAAGCCGTTTTCTCACCTGGGTGAGGGCACTTGGTTGTCCCGAGAACCTGCTGCTGGAGGGAAGAAAGGCCATGGAGCTCAGAGGCCAGCGGAAAGGCCGGTGCTTTGGCCACCTCCCCCACCTGCCAGTTTCTTCGGGAAGCACTCAGCCAGGCCTGCTGACCCCATGACCTCGGGGCCACACCGCTCCCAACTCCCCTGAGCAGGGTCGAGGCCGCCTGGCGTAACCAGCCTGAAAGGCTCTTTTTGTCCCTGCTTTCGCCAAACGGGGCAGAAGACAGATGGGCTCAGGTGGCAACAGAGTGTCACCACACCAAGGATGCGGTGAGATTATCTGGGAATTAGTTTCCTGCAGGTTTCAGGAGAAGAGATTTTAAGTATTCACATTCAGGCTCCATGGGGCATAGGAATCGTAATTGTTAGCAGCTTCAAGTGAAAAGAAAAACCACACCCCCCTGGCAAAGCACAGCACGCTGTGCAAATAGGGAAGCTAATGCCTCCTTGTTCTCTCTGAGGTCCTCGGCCTCAGGTCCCCGTTGACCGTGACAGTCAATATGAGGTAACAACTACACACTGTAGGCTTTCGTGTGCTAAGGTTCGCAAGGTAACCTGACCAATTCTGCAAGATATACAGAAACCTAAATGTCCCCCAAACAAAAGGGAAGTTTCCCGTTCTTTCTCTCCTGTGGTCACAGAGAGAAGATGGACTAGAATTACAGGACCCTCAGTCAGCTAAGTTCAATTTTAATTTAACTCCAGGCATCTGACTTCCCAGCTGTGAAGTGTTCTGACCAGAGTTTCCCATTCTGGCTGAACTGGTCAGAGTCACTGGAGACAAAATCCAAACAGCAAGTCTTATCCCCCCTGGGAGATTCAGATTCGGTTCATTGGGGGTACGTGGGGGCAGAAGTCAGTATTTTAGCAAGATCCCCAGGGGAATCTGATACAAACAAATCCAGAATCGGGAACCTGGCTGTTTAGATCTGTTTAGAGGCAAAAGCCTTGTCTTCACATCCTCCCTCTAAGACTAATTTCTGAAAAATAAATGTAGTAAGTAAATAAAGACAGTTTTCAAGATGTTCATGGAATGACTTTTTTTTTTTACATTTTTCAACTAGTTAAGACAAAAACATTACAATGATTGACTTCTTTCATTTAGTTACATAAATAAAATTTTTATAAATATCTCTTTATAAACAATATAAATAGCTTTACAACATAAATACATTTATGCATGACATGAATTTACAAACAGCAATGTTTTACAGCTGGTTTTGTCAGTCTCTTAAAAACTGTCCCTTGTCATCATGTTGGTGTAGGTGTGTGTGTTTCATGTATATAATATATATATAATATATAACTTTTTATTTTTCATTTTCAAAAAAAAAAAACAAACAATAAAATCATACCCCCCTTCCCGAATAATAATAAAACAGCTGGTGTTGTGTATTCCCAGTACCAGGAAAAAAAAAAAAAAAAGAAATGTAAAAGCCACATTGCGTTGGAGATGCTTCCAGATGCCGTGAGGCTGATGACCAAGAATGACCTCAGCAAAATGGAGCAAGTTCCCAATCCTGAAACACAGAGGGGACACGGGACACTTAGTTCTGGCCCCTTAGCCGAGAAAGCCCAGCCTGCAGGACAGTCCCTTTCCACAGCAGCGTGAAGCAATGTCCCGCTTTGCCCCACCAGCCCGGAGAAGGCGGTCCTATGGAGGGAAAGGGGTCCTTCTCTCCTGGGTCACCTCATCTCCTGCTGTGCCCTTGGCACTTCCTGCCCCAGAATGTCTGCCAGCCCTCCTCCCCCTGAGTCTAACTACAGGCCTTGCCCTTGGCACTCGGTGAGACACAATGAGGGAAAGAGAGTAGAAATGCCCTTTTCCCTTTTTTGCTGCAACAAAAACCCTCGAGGGTGCCACCTCGGCTTTCTGTGTCTACGTGACAGCAGTGGGGAGGGGGAGACAAACATCTGAAGAGTTGGGAATTCTGGGCTCAAATCCCAACTCTGACATTCACTTCCTGGATGGCCCTGGATAGCTTTGAGTATCGCTTTCCTCACCCATAAAATGGGATAATAGCCACCTCCCTGGGCCAGCTTTAAGATTCAACAGGTGGGCCACACGTTGGGCACCGGCAGAGTGTCTGGGTCACAGCTGCCACTCATTAAATAGCACTTCCTCCTCTAGCTGGCTTCACCTCAGAAAGGGTCCCCTTCAGACGCAGGGGGAGTGGGGTCTCATGCCAGCCCTGGGGCAATGAGTGGCCATGCTGGGTGTGCTGGGCGGAGAGTTAAGAGTCCTTTGATGAGGGCTCTCCAGCTCTCTGCCAATGGCCATGTAGGTGCTCTGGGGCCCGAGGGAGGAGTCCTCCTGAGACAGTGCAGTGCCCTCCCAGAGGCCAGCACACGCGGAGGGACCCCGGGCTTCAACACCTTGATGAACTGTCCCTCAACTTCCGTCTCTGGCCGTCCCATGTGTTTAAACAGACGATAGATGTCTGTGATGTCCCTGGGGCTCCTGGGCAAGGTGTTCATTCAGGCATCGGCCACACCCCATCTCTGTCATTAGAATTTTATAATCAAGACTATAACCATCAGCGACAGTCATTATGGTGACTGCTTAGAGCCAAAGTCAACTCCTGAGTGAAGAAGACATGGCCACAGCCTGGGACGAGTTTCCATTAATGTGAAAAATCTCAGCTGTCTTTCTCTTTTAAGCGGAGACGGTGAGACACCTTGGGCATCTCCACTAGGAGGCTGCGGGCAGCGGGAAGGATGCTCTGCCTTCTCATGGTGGGTGGGGTGGGGGGGAGAGTGGGGTCGAGAAGGTTAAGGGTGTTAGAGGTGGCTGTTCAGCTCAAGGACAGAACTTCCAAGAGGATGACATACTTCCCTAGTCAAAGGGGCTGAGAAGTCCTAGCGATCTGGCCTCCTGCCCAGCACCTCCCCACCTGGTGCCCCCGGACAGCCACACCCAAGAGCAAGGAGCCTAGGGGGATGTGCATTCCAGGCACTTTCCAGGCCTTCTTCCTCATCTCGTCTCCTGCTAACCCACTGGACATTTGGTTAGATCGGGAAGTTTGAGCTTGGTGCTTAAATCACAATGTGAACTGAAGATGTGAAGCCTGTGGCTCCATCTCTTCATTGTTTAGACAGGAAAGATGAGAGCAAAACCATTATAGTGGAAGCTAGTAGAGTCTGGGCCCCATGTGCTAGAATTATCTTTTCCTGTGCAGGGGCGAGTCAAGACCTCAGACAAATGAAGCCCCTTGCCGAAATGGGGAGGAGCTCACAGCTCAGTCAAGTCTGGCACAGAGAGGAAACCCTGCTAAAACCCAGGGCAGGTGTGAGAGGAGTGCCCCTAAGCTGGGTGGCGCATGTTTCTTTGGTCATTGACAAACATTTTTCAGAGCTTCTTTGGGGGTGCTGTGGGTCCCAGATCACCTTAGGTTAGCACCTGGCCCTCAAGTTGCTCATGAGTTAATCTGGGAGTGGTAAACAGGTTCCCAAGCAACTATGGCTCGGGTGAAAACGTGTTCTGTGCTGTAAAAACGGCTTAGGCAACGTGCTGGATATTTTCAGAGGGGCGTTCTCATTGCCCTCTGGAGGAAGACAGTGTGGACGCTGACAAGGCTTCTTGGGCGAGAGAGCAGCTTCCCCATGGCTTGGAGTGGGGAGTGGGACAGACAGGCTGCAGGGAAAGGCTGGAAGCCAGCAGGAGTCCGTTCCTAAAGCACTTGAATGTCAATTTCAGAGGTGGTTTTACCACCCCGGTTTACCATGGGAAGTGACGGGCAACAGGAAAGGAGAGAAAGGGAGAGAGGGGGGAGGATCTTTGCAACATCGCCAGGATGCAGCACCTGGCAGGGGCTGAAGGTAGCACAGGGGAATCCAGCCCTAGTGGAGGGTGAGGGGGCAATGCCAGAAACAGGGACCCCTGTTGGGGAGGTGGGCAGGTTGGGGAGGAACTCAGATGGGCACATAGGTTCAGATTGGGGCAAAATAATAATAATAATAAATAATAATAATAATAATAAAATATTTTTAGTCTTTTTCTCTGCCGTGAAATAGTGCCACAAACACTGAGTTTCCATCCTGAAGTCAGGCAGGCAGCAAGCAGCATCAGGACCCTGGACAGACCAGTTTGCTCCCAGCCACGGTTTAGAGAAGGGACAAGAATCAGACCGCTCTAGGACGGAAGGGCAACCTGCTGATGCCAACAGAGGACTATTCTGTCTACAGGATTATAAAGTCTGTCCTACTTTAGGGACCACAGTCCTAGGAAGCCGCCCTGACCTCTGGCACCATGAAACAGTGTCTGGCAGATAAACTTACCCTCCACTTGTGTGTATGCCCTTCCTCCTCTGCTCCCACAACCCCCCGATTGCCCCTCAACGCTCCCAAATGGCGATTTGGGACCAGTGCTGCCAGTTTACTTCTGGTCCCGGTGTGGGCAGGACCCCACCAAGCTGTCGCTGCTTTCTTAAAGGAAGCTAGGCGGGTTCATCCGTGTTGAGCCATTTCTGACCTGGCCCAAATGCCCCGACCACTCTATCCCTCACTTTTTTCATGTGTAAAACGGGACGATAAACGGGGTTGGGGGCAAATGCCTTGCACACACACTGGATCTCGTGCTGGGATCGCCTGGCTCTCCTCCAAAGGTCGGCTGGGAGGCGGAACGACCCCAGCGCCAGGGGATCAGAGAGGAACCGGCCTGCGGGCGGGCGGGGGTTCAGGCTTGGTTCTGGCAGGTGCCGCGGGGGAGCTAGGTGTGCACAAACTCCGGGCGCCCGGGGTTGGTGGTACTCACCGCCGCCAGGGGTCGCCGCACTAACATCCCAAGCCGCTCATGGAGCCGATCCGGTCCAGCTTGAGGCCGAAGCAGCCCTTGGACAAGCCCTTCTTGTTGCCTCCCTTGTATTTGCGCGCGTTAGGGTGCTCGTGCAGAAGGCGGGCCCACGCCGCCCGCGACTTGGTGTCCACGCGCAGGTCCCGGAGCAGTCGCGACCGGTCGCCCTTGAGGTTGGCGCCGCCACCCCCGGGAGTTTTGTCGCCCTTCTTCTGACCGCCGCCCGCAGCCTGGGGCTCGGCCAGCTCCTCCCCTGGCGGAGTTCGCGGGACCTGTCCGAGGGAAAGGGCGGGCAGGTGAAGGGACGCCCGGGGGCCGCGCGAAGTACTTTGCGCGACCCCTGATGCTCCAGCCCCTCGCGCCCGCCGGCGCGATTTGTCCTTTCGGAGCCCTGACGCGCCCCCACAGATGCCGGACAGCCGGCCCTGCATCCACCTGCCACGCAGCCGCCGTTGTCCGCTCCTTCCGGAAGCCCCTTGCCCTCCCTTCCTTTGCCCCCTGACCGGCTGGCCACATTGGGGCAGGGGCTCAGCATCTGTCGTCGTGCTCCCGAGGCTGGGGACGTAGACCCCCTGAGTCGGTTTCGAGGGCTTCCCGGCACTCACCCATACACATCTCTGAGCAGCGGGCCACTTTCCCGCCCTCTGCTCCCTCTAGTGCTCCGCATCCTCCTAGGGCCCCCAGCCCCACCATGGTCCCTCACAGTCCCGATGTCCATGCAACAGCACCCACCTTCGGCGGCGCCCCGGGCTTGGCTTCAGAGGGCCGGAGCGAGAGTAGCGTGAGCAGCAGGGCGCAGGCCAGCAGCTGGGAGAGGTGCATCGTGCCGGCAGGGTCGAGGGGCGCAGAGCCGCAGCAGCGAGGGCGCACGGGTCCGGCGGGAGACGGAGCAGGCGAGCGCGGAGCAGGCTGGCTGGGCTGCGGTGTGGGCGCGAGTCCCAGTGCTGCGCGGCGCCGGCTGGGTGCGCTCTGAGCCCGCGGCTCCGCTTGCGCCTTTATAATCCAACCTGCCGCTGATGTCATCCTCCCGCCCACCCGGCCGCCCCGGCCAATGGCACGCGCGCCGAGGTCCGGGAGGGGGGCGCGGGGGCTCCCCCTTTGCCCCCACCTACATCCCACCCCCGAGGGATCCCGCTGCTCCGCCAGCCCTCTCCCGCCGCACTCGCCGCTGCAAAGCGGCGCGCACAGGAAACTCCATTTGCAGCGAGTGCGTGCCAGGCATGCCAAGCGTCGGCGCTCCCGGTGCCCTGCACACACGCTTGGACCTCAACACACGCGCTCTCCCTAGGAGGAATCAGTTTCCCTCCTTTGCAGGTGCAAAGACAGGCTCAGAGGAATTAAGTCCCTTGTCCAAAGCCACACAGCCAGAAAGTTGGCACAGCCCCAAATCCACGCAGATCTGTCTTGTTGCCAAACTCTTTCCTGGGCACCAGACAGGCTCAGGCCTGGTACTGCGGCTCCACCTCTCACCTACTCGGGAGTTTAGATTGCACCGAAGTCTTTAAGTTGGGGAGGCAGAGGATGGGGCGGAGGTCCGGGCGGGAGGCGCAGGGAGAGCGAGGTTTGCCGGGGGCCGCAGGGGGGAGCGCAAGTCCTACACCGGACAGTGAAAGCTTTTTTGCCTGAGGGTGTGTTTGAGAGTGAATTGCAAACGAGGTGGGCTAGGAGGGCCGAGATACCGGTGCCGGTGCGTGCGTGCAGCTCGCGTTCAGCGTGGGTCTGCCGCGTGGAACCCGCCCAAAGTCTGACCCGGCGGATAGCTTCCCGGTGCGCTCTCGGGCGCGCGCCTGACCCTGTCTGCACCCACGCGAGGAACCTCAGGGTGGGGATGTTCTCTCCCTGTCCTGTGCACCTGCACCGCGCGGGGAGAGAGCTTTACCTAGCCTGGAGCCCCGTCTGGCTTCCCTGAGCGGTGACAGGTGATTGCCTTTGCTTTTTCAGTCTTAGATAGGTCTCTGTCAAAGTTGCAGGGACGAAATCGGGTACACCTGTCGCTGGGAACTCCCTCTCCTTGGGCAGGGTGTCTTCGTTCCTCGGACTCTGAGGAATCCCTTTGGGATGAGCAGCAGAGGCAGAGAGCTGGGCACCTCAAGAACTGAGTGAGGTGCGGAACTGTATGACCCCAAAGCCACCCAGCAGGACTCTGCTGGAAAGCAGACAACAGGGGCATGGTGGTTGTCCCTAGGCACGAAGACCACAGCCCGATGCAGGTGTCTGGATGAGTCTTTTCAGGGAGAGAAAGCTGTGCCTGAGGCAGAGGGCGGTGACAGTTAAGAAGGGCAGGGGGAGGGGGCATCTGGGTGGCTCGGTCAGTTTAGCATCCGACTCTTGATTTTGGCTCAGGTCATGATCTCACGGTTCATGAGTTGGAGCCCCGCATCAGGCTCTGCACTGACAATGCGGAGCCTGGTTGGGATTCTCTCTTCCTCTCCCTCTCTCTCTGTGCCTCCCCTGCTCGCATTCTCTCTTTCAAAAAATAAAATAAACATTAAAAGAAATAAGGGCCGAGGGAATCAGGTGCCATGTGGATGGCTCCTGCAGTGGAGCCCGTGTCTGGAGGCAGGAGGCAATAGCACCACCATTTTTTCAGGCTCTCCCCGTCCCACCTGGCACTCTGGGTAAGAAATTGCAGACCCACGGAGCCCAAGTTCCCTTTGTTTAGGAAATAGCTGACACGAGCCCTGAGTTTGGGGTAGCAGAATTTCTGAGTCTAGAAGAAGATTCAGACATTGACAGGACACCTTTTGGGGGTTCTAGTGAGTTGATTCACCACTTCCATGCAGCCCCCTCCGATTGTTGCTCCGTGGTAGCATGGAGTGGCACCACTCTTTGAGAGGTAAGGAAGAAGAGCAAGGAGGAGGAAGAGGGAGGCATTTCCTGGTGAGTGATGGAAGTCCTCTCTCCTCTTTGGCTCCTGATCAAAGTGGAATGTTACCAATCTGGAACGTCTCTGACACTTGTTTTATTTGCATCTATTTAAGGAGCCGAGCAGATTGAGTCTAGACCCAGTCACTGAACTCATTTCCAGGGGACAACAGCTACATCCTCTGAAACCCCTTATTAAGGACGGGTTGGAAGCTTCCGGTGCACCTTGGTCACCTCCTTCTGTCTGAATGTCGCTTCTTCAGGCTGGTTCTTCCTGTATTTGGTGTCCCTTGGATGCACTTAGTGACAGCTGGGTAACTATCTAAGTCTCCCCTCTCTTTGAGCATTGAGACTAAATTAAATAAATGGACCCCACCCAACCCCACCCCAGTGTGGGCAGAGCCAACACCCTGGACTCTACTTCTCCTATTCAGAAGTGGAAACTTCTGGTGAGCCCTCGCTTCTGACCACTGGACTATGGTCCTTTGGGGCAGACCAGATCCTGGAAGAGTTACCTGCAGAGCGAGGCTTCCCTGGGGCAGGCAGTGGAGCCACTCTCACTTAGCTGGGGTCTGGGAGGTGGGGTGGATAGAAGCTGAAGGACTAGGCTGGAGGAACCTTCCAGAAAGGAGGTAGTCCGCACGCGACTGCCTTGGTTTCCTCCCACATTGAGCTGCAGAGGAAGCTCTCTCCCTCTTGGGTCTAGAACGGGGACTCAGGTCCCTCCTTCCTGCTTTTCCCTCATGAGGTGTGCTTGTTTCTGCTCTGACCCAGGGGCCAGGCCTGGGAAAGCTGGACCCACTGAGCAGCTGAACAGGAGCTGTTGGAGGCAGTTTATGGAATGCTCAGTGTGAACACTCCTCCTGATGGCAAAGGAGACAGAAAAGTCCACTGGGCCTTGGGAGTCTGGCAGTGCTGTAGGGAATCCGGTTATGTGTCCTTTATCTGCCCACTGGTTCCCTAAGTGTCCATGGAGCACCCAGGAAGCCTGTGGGTTTGCATCCCTGCAGGGAAGGAATCCAGGAAACAGACACTAGGTTTGTAGGCTGAAAAGGACAACGGTGGGGACGGAGGGCAGCTCTCCCAGCTTGGGCTAGCTGGGTGGGCTTCCTGGAGAGGAAAAGTCTGTGCAGAGCTGGTGGTAGGGTGGAGGCGGGAGGCGGTGGGGGTGGGGGGTGGGGGGGAGGGAGACCCAGAAGGCAGGAGGACAGATGGGATAAGGAGGGAAATCTAGTTGGAGAGCAGCCCTTTGGGCTAACCATGTAGTGCACCCAGACTTAGAGGGCTGCAGTAAAAGAAAATGAGTGACCTCGCCAAAGGGAAACTGAGGGAAGCAGGGGGGCAGCCTGTGACATTGCAGGGCCCTGTGTGCCCAGACTGGGGGTGGGGTGGGGGCTTCAGGTAAGGGTATCCAGAAGACGCAGGCTTGGGAGAGAGGCAAGTCAGCCAAGGGAGGGCCTTGTCTGGCAAGAGTGGGAGCCTATTGTATTCTTGAGGGTGAAGACAGAAAGCAAGCTTGAAGGTTAGGACTGAGGGAGAGTGGTCAGTTGTGGGGAGGCACGGAGAAGGAGCAGGGATTGGGGAAAGTCAGAGCCAGCTTGAAGTGTGCCAAACCCCAGGCATCAGAGAGTCACAAGACTGGCACCCTCTCCTCCCTTCCGGACCTCTGAAAGAAAGGCGGGGACAGGGAGAGAAAAGGCTCCATTCCTGTGGGCCCCTTTCCCCTTTTTCTCCTTCACGAAGGCAAGGCGAATGTCTTGCACAGAAGGCGCCCTTCCTGGGAACAGTCGGTGTCCACTCTGCTAGCAGGACCCTATGGAACATGAAAGGGGCCTTGAGTATTCCTCCGGTGAGAAAGGTGTGCATAAGGGCTTACCTGAGGCTGGGGAAGGAGTGATTGAGACCAGACTGCCCAGGGGGTGGGAACTAGCTCCATGTGGAACAGCGCCCCCTCCTGGCCCTGGGGCAAAGCGGGAGGATTCTCAGGCACACAGAGGAAGGGAGGAATCCTCAGCAGCCCATCTGTTTTCTCTGCAATTATTTCATCCCAGGGGCCCCCTTCCAGCTGCATAACTTCCCAGAGAGGACACTGAACAGGCGGTGAGCAGATCTTATGGAGGCCGGGCAGGGAAATTTCAGCGGGACCCGGGCCAAGTCCCATCACTGCTCTGGGCCTTCAGTTTCACCACCTGTAATTGCGAAAAAGCTGTCCTTGCCTCCTGGACGGGGGCAGAGTGAACCAGGACGCCTGACAAGAGGCTTCCAACCCCTGGACAAAGGCAGGACGAGCAGCTGGGGCAGAAGAAGCATCTGAATGTCACTCGCACTCCTGGGGAGGAGGGGGAGGACACCGTGCCCCTGAGATTCCTCAGAACCGATTGATGGGGAGACCCACAGAAGACACAGAGGTCAAAGCTTGGCCAGGTCTTCTGGCGCTTGGTGCCTCCTCCAGGAGTCCTGCACCTACAGGACTTGGCTTTAAGAGAGGAGCTGGAGGCCAAGGAAGACTCATCTATCCTTCCTGGGCCAGAAATTCCAGGAAAGCTTAACCTAATGGTGCCATGAGGTCTTTGACCCCAGGACACCCCCACCTGATGAGCCAGCTGCCCTTCTTCTTCTTTCCCAGGGGCCCTGCCAGCACCTGCTCCAGATGGCCTCCAAGCCCACTGTCCCACGCAAGCTCATGACGTCAGAGTTTATCCCTCCTTTTTTTTTTCCCTTTTCAAAAATAAAAGACAGATAGGGTTGACAGATAGCCTCAATAGATAGGCTCAGTTCCTCGGAGGGGGGGGGGAACAACTGCTCCCCACGTGGCTTTTAACAAGCAGGCGAGGGAGTAGAGGCCGAGGCCTAAACGCTGAGAAAGTGAGGAGGGAGATGAAGGCGAGAGGCTCTCTGAACCGAAGATGGTTCAGCATCCTGACCTCGGTATGGAGCGAGCGCCAGATGTTTCCAGAAGGGACAGGTCTGCTGCCAAGGTCTGTGTCCTGGAGATTGGCTTGCCCTGGCTGGGCTCTGGTCAAATGTTGATCACATGGAGTTTTCCAAAGAGGCAGAGCTTCTTGCTGCTATAGAGGTCCCTACAGTGAGCTCGCCTT